GGAACAGACTAGAGTTGCCAGGAAGATTCATGATCCTTCTAGAAACTCATCACGTGTTACCAGAGTCACGTGACTTCCGCTGTCGTAACAATACCTGATGATGACAAAACCTTGTCGAAACGTTGTACATTTGCTGTTATGTTAAACTTATATTAAAGTTTTTCTTCATTACCCATTCAAGCCGTCTTCAGCCATTATTAACAATACATTTGTTTTTAAAGTAGGGCGAGTGAACTGTCAATAAACCTGTATGTTTGAATTTATTTATTTACATGTTTTATTATACCAAAAATAATATCTGCTGAACAAACTAACCCAATTGATTAAATTTATGAAATAGCGAAATTCAGTTGGGTTGTTGTTAAGTATAAAGTTACAGTCCACCATGAGTATCGAAATTCAATTTTTAGCATTTTAAGCCTAGAGGCTTTCCTCTGAGTCACAGACAGACTAACGAAATAGTAGTCTTTACTCAAAATTAATAGTACAGAAAACTATCCAGAGATGGCGTTGTAAGTGTACCGAGAATGTTTAAAGATAGTTGGTTTATATATATTTTAAGTCTTTTATTATTACATTATCCACGGTTTAGTAGAATACTTCTGTTTATGTGTTTGTGTGTCCATTGAAGGAAAAATCATTCTTCAAATTAGTGTGTAATCAGAACATAAACCTGTATTATCATCTTGCAACAACAGACATGTGAATGAAAAGCCAAAAGATAATCGTTAAAATTATTTTACTGGGTGTTTAAGTTAATGAAATGTGAGACTTGGTACAGAAAAAAAGAAAAATAATTTGTGCTCAAGTTTAAAGAGATGCCAATTTAGGGCGTCTACCCCTTTAACCATCTAACATGAAAGGAAGTAACAGACCGGAAATCTCTTGAATGCGTGTTTGTACTTTACACGTTTATCGCCTCCTTCTGTTGTGCATGTGCAATCCAAATGTATTGGGAAAAAAGGCGTCTTAAAACTGCTGATTTAACATCCTGCTCCCCTCTTGTTATATTCATCAACTGTTTACTTTTAGCGAAATCCTAACTTGAAAGGTGTGAAATTATTTTCTTAGAAAATATTAAAGAAACCGGAAGAAGCACGTCACATATGTAAACGTATCGTTTTCTTTTTTATTGTTTTAACCACAAATGTTTCTAATGTACTTTTGCAAGTACCTGTGAAAATAATAAATCTATTATTTCGTGCAAGTAAAGCACCTTTTACTACAGCAAAGTGGTAGAAATAACATATAAGTTCCCTTAAGTTCAAGTGGGATTATATATTACATACTAATGATGTTAATTTGTACATCTATACTTAAGTTCAAGTCGGATTATATATTACGTACTACTGATGTTAATTTGTGCATCTATAAATACACATTTTCAACTTGGGTCTTGTTTATTTTCTTACATGTTGGTTCAGTGAAGAGGCGTTGGTAGATATTGATCATGTGTAGGGAACAGAATAGATTCTGTCACGTCAAATGACAACCAGTCCTTCTTTAGAACTAATAAAATGAGTTGTAATGAAATCCAAAGTTCATTATAACATGACATTGATGATTTCAATAATAAATTGAGGTACCATCTATTTTAATACTAATGTATCCAAAATCAACATTCATCTAGGGTCATGCCGTTACTAAACATTCGACTGCTCAATTGTTATGATCATTGTACTTAAAGCTTTGCTGAGACACTTAATAGTTGTAACATAACAATCGTGAACACGATTTTTTAAAGACGAGGTTGAAAAACACTGAACTGGCTGAGCACAGTTTGGTACAATTTTGTTTGTTTGTACATTTGTACTCTCATAAAACAAATGGACTCTGAAATTCCAGTCTGTCCTATCCAGCAATTGTGTTGTTTTTTCATCTTGCATTATCACATCATCTAGAAAAAAAGAAACACGAGTAGCTGAGCACTGCCAGCACATAAGAGTAAATTATAGAAGATAAAAGTTCTCTTAAATTAAACAATCATCAATTTGCTAATGAAAGTCCTTACCATAGCCCCAAAGAGTTTGAGCAAAGTCTGCAGAGCTGATATAAACCAAACCTTCCGGATTTTATTAGTCATAATATAGGCATTGATATTTCAGTTGAGCTAGTATGTTTCATTTCACAATCTACAAAGACACAAAGTGAAAAACAAAAGTTATTAGGTATACCGAAAATTGGTTTCTTTTTTTGCAATTAAAGAGTATACACTGAGATATATAATAACAAATTAAATTTCTTTTTCTAAATACATAATGTTAAATTAGATTCATAAAAACAAACTCAGTTTTTTCTCTCCAATTAAACAGTTTAAACTGGGGTTTATAATACAAATTACACCACATGGATCTCTCACCTAAGGACGTATTAAGCTTTATTGAATGAGAGACTTTACCCTTGACGTAATCGGACCGATGGAAAGTCATGTAGTTCGGAACAAGCAATGCATATTGATTTTATATTTTATGAGCTTGCGGTACGATTTTACGTGGAAATACTTTACAAAGGTCATAATGCAGTAGTTTGTGGCATTTCGGTATAAGAACTTGAAGTTGCATCAGAATATTTATTGTCTAAGAGCACCCAATGTCAAGACTATTAGGTTTAACAAACCAGAGTCAAGGCCGTCTAGCTGGTGTCGTACAGATAGTAGTGTGTTTTTATGAAGCTGCAAACGAAGCAGGCACGATGACGTCATACATTTTTGGGAAGTAATTATGCAAGAGGGAAGCTAGTAGTGGTTGTCCATTCGGCAAAGCGCGAGATAAGATGAACGCAAGGTGAACTGTAGGATGACTTGTCTGATTCAGAAGTGGTTGTGGAACATTTATGCAATAAGTGCATCATGTGGTATTGTTAACGGCTTCATATTTGTTTATCGAAAAGAAGAAATGCAATTACATTCCTTCTAAGACATTTTCCCCAAACAGGAATTAATAACATGGTATTGAGGTTATATACTAAGCTACGTGACAGTACCATGCATAAATAAAATACTGTTACGTCTCCGTTCGTTAGTTAATTTTCCGCAAATTCGTTCCGACGAAACTTTAGCGACACAAGTCCTTTCTTAAATAAAACTGGTTTATTCTTTCTGAATATAACTTTGCGATACACTTAATTTCAACAGTCGCGCTACAACAAACGCTATAATTCTCGTCTCACGTGGCCAACAATATTCTCCGCATACATTCAATTACTCATTACACTGTTGTCCGTCACGTTGTGAACGTCTTATATATACCAGACTACCCCCAATCTAGTAGTCTCCCGAAAATTCATGAAGGTTCGAGAAGGACGTGGCGTGATACTAGTCACGTGACCTCGCTGACGCAACAATACAGTTTAAAGGCATCTGTAGGCATATTTTGGAAAATACTTTAACAATTTACAGCATATTTATGAGTTATTATTGTCATGTCTTAACACTGAGAATGTAATAATGATATTTTACAATGCATTTTGTTTACTTTTTATTAGTAAGGATATCCTGCTGATTAATTAAAAATATATGATGTGTGTAGGCACGACATACTATATGCAACTTGATTGGCTCAAACTTGACGAAGGTTATTGGTTTTGTTGCCATGATATAGATTACTGACAATGCCGTTCTTTAAACTTTAAACCTTTATATTTTTATCTGAATTATTTCGAAGTTTAAGAATGATTTACAGACCTTCTGCAAATAATTTCTTTTTTAATTCATGGATTATCAGCACAGTTCTAATATTTGACACTTATTTACACGGTAGTTTCCTAATCCAAAAATCAAAATCAGTAATCTATATATATAAGAAAATTGAGTTTGACAAAAATTATATGTAGTTTAACGCGTATTTGTTTACTGCCTTTATGTTTTTACTTTGAATATTCCGCAAGGGTAAGCTTTAGCAATGTAGGCGTCAGAGATTCACATCAAACAGCGACACCGCGTGATAATACTCGTTTTCCAAATTTGTTACGTATTATTGAAATATTAATGCTAGAAAATATACGCAATAGTTTAAAGTGACGAAAAATTAGGCCTAATGATTAACGTACTGGGCTGCCGATCGAGAGGTCCAACAATCGAGCTGCATTGAACACTGAAGCAAATCTAAACTTTGGTCCGTGAGCACCTTATAAAAGTAACAGCAACCTCTTCATTCAGTATCATGGGTTGGACAAAGCCCTTGTTGCGGCAGGTGGTACTGATTGGTTGCCCTCATTACAGGAAGTAGTTCAAAATAAGACACTGTTAAGCCTGAATCTTAGGGGCCTCAGATCTGGTTGTTTATTCCATCTTTATAAGTTAAAATGCCAATATCAAAGTTACAAAAAAGAAATGCTACTTCACAACGTTAGATTAAAAATAATTCATCCATATGAAATTTAATAAAAAAAGAAACGAAAAAAAGGTTGAGTTACAATGAATACTTGCAAAACATGTCCGTTGAATTGTTGTGGGAATGATAATGTTGCAACCTCTAATTAGCAGAATGTTTCAATATTTATAATAATCTATTATTCATATTAATATTTTATGAATATTAAGGACGACGGCTTTCATAATATCAATATTCTTCTGTTCAAATATGTTTGAGTAATGCGGTTCGGTTGCAAAAACTACTAAATTATTCATAATATTTAGATTATTCGTAGGGGGTAATATTTGATTTAGTTTCTACAGTTAAATCCTGCTGAAAAAATGATTTCCAAAAGTCAATATTAGATACGCATGATTATTATTTCTCTAATTCAATATAATATGTTACAAGTAGTAATTATTGGATAAGGTAATATTTATGTACAATGTTTATAGGCTGTAATTATATAGTTAAGTTATTTTTTCAAAATAAAGTAATAAACAAATCAAGAAAACTTATATTCTTTATGCAATATTAGTACCAAAGAGGTAATAAAATCAATAAAGGTTTTACTCGCATGTTTTGTCGTTTCCCTGGATAACTAAAATATAGCTTACAGTCATTCTTATATTATTCAGAATTAGTATTTTCCAAAAGACAGTTACTCCGTTTTATACTAATGTATTATGCTTTTGTTTAAGACAGAATCCATATTGATATATTTGGTGTATTTGTCTTCCCTGAATGTCGTGAATTTTATTGTTTTTGTTTTTCATGTTTGACAGTTTATGTTATTTTTCTTTGAAATTCCTCACGAATTATACCACTATGAAATACGAAAGTGAAATCTTGACTAAGATTTAATTTCGTACACGTGATAATCCTATTTGCTTTTGTGTCTTTGCTAACGAGTTACACAGTTTTTAAACAAACGAAAATATACGAAAAACAAATATATCAAGTATATAAAATTCAGTGATATAAAACATTTGAAAGTGAAGGCAGGTTTTACATTTCACGAAAACGGTTTATTCACATGTACATACTATTATGCACGATTCGAACAAAATAAAAGAATGTGAACATTTTCATCGCCCCCTCCCCACCAGTGGCACCGCAGCAAGTCTGAAGGCTTATAACTGTACAAACTGGGTTTCGATACCCGTGATGGGCACAGCTCAGCTTTCCCATTGTGTAGTTTTATACTTATAACTACAATCAAACATTTAAACCTGAAATAACTTTTTTAAACCCTTAGAAATGACAACATGAAATGTACAAGACTGATAATACATCGAAATAAGTGAAAATCTTTCACGTACTGCTTTGAGGAGCAGATTAATTATTTGGGTCAGTAAAAATACATAAAAGTGCCATAAGTAACAATGTGTGACCTCCAATGAACTTTTTGTTTTCAACGTGCGCAGTAAAACGACTCGCCAATCTACAGGCTAAACCCGGTTTCTTTAGTAGGTCATGAACCATTGCTTACACAAAATACATGTTGTAGATGAAATTTAGTGTGACACCTTATTTCATTCTACTTCTTGTTTTTTTTTTTATAAAGCAGACAAATAAATAAAATTACTTAGCTATCCTGGCCTTAAATTACATCGTTGATTGAAAACTTGGCTATGGAGAAAACATGTTAGCATTGCGTTCAACATGTATTTACGATTAGGAATTAATTTTCTATCGCTGACTCTAACTCTACAACATTATGTCTTACTCTTGAAAAAGATTACTTCGTTAGACCACAAACCAACACATTTGTGTGAAGTAGAATCAGCAAGCAAAGAATGCTAATGCTACCCTAGAAAATTTGTAAACAAAATAAAATAAAAAATAGGCGCTATGACATTAAACCCGGAAGCAATTTTGCATGAAATATAGATTAACAATTTCCTAGCTATTCACATAAAATACACAAACAGCCAATGAAAAGTGAAGAAATCATCATTCTGTTGTAACACATGCAGAGTAGTTATTAATTGTTAAATTATATTACTAATTTAAACATCTCTGTACAACAACAATAGTATATTAGCTATTTCAGTCATTGGCTATTATATACGCACATGTATACATTATTAAAATAACACGTTAGCATGCTCCATTCTTCTGGGGGTGTTTTTCCATAAATAACTTACATTCAGTTTCAATGTTGATAGCAGTGTCATAATGATTATGTATTAAAGCTAGAGCAGTCAGACTTTCTTCGATTTATATACACGTCAAGTAATTATTCAACCAGCGGAGAGCAGATGCCAAACGTTCACATGAACATGAACTAAGTGGCAGTATGGTAAAGAGTTTCGGTAACATAAAGATATTTGGTACAGTGAAGCATGCTTTTAAGCAGTCAGCCACTATCTGGGGCCTGTTCTGGAGAGGTATAGAAAACCATCTTGTCTTCCATGGATGAAATTATTCATAAAAATATCAGTATTTGGCAAATCTTCTCTGTACAAATTTGATATCAGAAAACTCTTGTATGAGTTTTGATGGCTTAAGTTTCTGAATTGATGCTGCTTGCTATTTCAAGCCAAAAAAATGTTAATATTTCATCAGAAGAATGTAGACTATGTAGAAAACGTTCAATACCATAAACAGATGCGCCCGAACCTCCCCTCTGTGTACGTTCGTGAAATTAACTGCCAAATATTACGTTGTTTTTGGTTACCATCCGTCTTTTATTTGATATACATGTATTTCTTGTACTTGTTCTCTTTCATCTTTTCAAAGGACAGCTAAGGTAATCTGTTTTAAATAATTAGAGTTTTTGTACTCTATTTTATATAATTTGAATTTTTGTACTCTATTTTATATAATTAGAGTTTTTGTACTCTATTTTACATAATTAGAGTTTTTGTACTCTATTTTATATAATTAGAGTTTTTGTACTCTATTTTATATAATTAGAGTTTTTGTACTCTATTTTATATAATTTGAATTTTTGTACTCTATTTTACATAATTAGAGTTTTTGTACTCTATTTTATATAATTAGAGTTTTTGTACTCTATTTTATATAATTTGAATTTTTGTACTCTATTTTATATAATTAGAGTTTTTCTCACACTAAACATTCTGACGTAAGTTGTTTTTCGTTTTTGTATTTTATGTTCAACCAAGATTAACTATAAAAATGTATCGGTCTTTTATTCATCGATTTGTACAATCTCCATCTAGTGTCGACAAT